CCCCAAAACCCCAAAACCCCAAAACCCCGGTATTCAATAATTTGAGGTTTTTCAAAATTAAGTTATTTAGCAAATACAAATAAAATCTTTTGATTATTGATCAAGATTTCTCCTCTATTAATGGCTCGCTTACTTATGATAACTTATTCATTTTTAAGATTATTCTATCAAGCAATATATCTGGGATTGAGAAGCTTAATAGGCCTGGTAGAAATGATGGAATAAATCCTTTTAACACAAGTACCAAATATATACTAGGCAAATCGAATGGCACAAGACTATCAATCGCTTTGCATAATGCCAAGATTACAATAAGAGTTACATATTTTATAATAACTTGTAAAATACTATAGGTCTTTGCTTTTATATGGACACTTCTACCATGAATCAATAAACCAATAAATGCACCTAGTATCACACCATTACTGCCTGCATAGTAAATCCCAGAGTAATGAAAGGTGTTAAAGAGAGGAGGTTAAATACAATTTCTGTTGAGTCTTTCTTTCCAAATTTATGGTGGAGAGAATGTCTAATCTGTATAAACAAAAGCTAATACTTATGGAGCAAGAATAATAACTATGAAAATCAATGATGCCATGAGTACCTTTATAAAGAATTATCTATTTCCAGTATTTTGAATCGATTCAAGATATTTGTATATTGAGTTCCTGTAGCAGCAATGAAACCACAAAGGTACCCATAAACCTATTGCTATTCCTAGAATTAATTGATCTATAGTATGCACTCCAACATAAACTCTATCATAGCACATGATAAATATGAATGATACTCCTAAAATCAAACTAATTAGATATTTAGCAAAACTCTTTTGCTTTTCTTATCCAAACGGATAGTTGTATTCTAAAAACAGCAGTACAAAAATAAATGTTGAATTGCAAGCATGCCCACTTGGAGTTCCATATTCATATGAACAACTCAATGCATTAATCCTATCATCAACCATATGAGGTCTAGGATCATGAATCAAAATCTTGGACAATGTTTTTATATAATCGTTGATAACCCAAATACTAAATATATAGAAACCTGCTTTTACTCCTTTAATAGCTAGCAGCAAAAGCATTATTAACTAATATACTAATCCTTCTCCAATATAAGCTAGAAATTTGAAAAATGACACACCTGTATCATTCCTATCATTTTAGATCTATACAATCAAATTGTAACTTAATTAGTAAAGGTTTTGCTTAAATAAGTAACTAGAAATGAATATTATCAATAGCGAGATCATAAATATAGCATGAAGAGTTGCATCCCTACAGTTATAAATTCCAACTTTACTCATTAAATAACAACTGATTTCTAATATTTCTACTATAATTAATTTCAATAAGTGTACATATCTCTCAACCCCT